TAGGGGCTGCCCACAAGGCTCTAACCCTTCACCATATGTTTTCTTTCAAAGCAAGAGCCATTTTCTGAGCTCCTAATAAATGGCCATTTCCTGCATTCAGCAGTATATCAGTATGGGTTTGTCTCTATTAAAACATTCATTTGTATCAAAAGGAACTACAGTCTTTTTTGTAAGACATTTTATAAACATGTCATGTGTAAAAGAAAAAAAAATGAACATCCTACCTTCTCAAAATAATCATCATGCAATGAAGGAGGACAATGTAATATAATGTATCTGATTTAAGAATTAGTTCAAAAATAGGGAATAAAGTGAATGAAAAAGCAGAGACTGCAGGAAGAATTGGGGCAGGGGAAACACTGTCCAAGTCCATGAGCCTGAGACAATATTGGCAACCGTGCTAGAAGTAAATCACAGTCAAGGAGGAAGCCAAGCATGCTTCTTGAGCAAAAAGTCCCATAATTTCTGCCCACTTTTCACCCAGTAGCACTTTTAATGGAAGTAGGCATGGAGAACAAGACTTTTTGAATGACAGGGGAACAAGACCCCTTAAATATGTAGGTCCTGATGAATGAAGCATTCACATTTTACAGTGAGCACTCACCTGTTGGGATCTTGCATTGTGAGTTAACCCCTAAACATATTGGGGGCATTTTTCCATGGTCAATTTGACCCAAATCCATCCATCCATCCATCCATCCGCTAGCTAGCTAGCTAGCTAGCTAGCTAGCTAGCTATCATCTCCAGCAAGTAGGTGTGATGGCTGGTGTGTATCATCAGTCCTTTGTGTTGTAAGGCAGGGTTCCTCAACCTTGGCAACTTGAAGATGTGTGGACTTCAACTCCCAGAATTCTGCTGGGAATTCTGGGAGTTGAAGTCCACACATCTTCAACTCGCCAAGGTTGAGGAACCCTGTTGTAAGGTATTTTACTGTTGTTTAAAATGTCATTCTAATGAGACAAGATGCATCTGCCCACCACCTTTCCTTTTCCATTTTTCCTCCTTTTCCTATTTTCCTTCCAAGATGTTGCTTTGTTGGTACTGCCATCTAGTGCCTTATTTTTATATATATATTTTAAAAGCTTGGTTGCTATTATCTTGGGACAAAAGCTGATTAATATGCATTGAAAAATTATGTATCAGGTTCAGTTTCTTTTTTCCAACAGCAGGCAGTCCAGACTACAAACAAGGCATTATTCCTGTGGCTGTTTATTGCTTTTCATGTTTCTAGTAACTGGTACTTAGAAGAACACTGCCTATACAGCTGGAAAGACTATGCCTAATAGTGACGCTGGTGGCTTCCTGCCAGCAGCCTTGGAGTCTAAACGGAGCCACTGCAAGTGCAAGATGAGTCAGCTCATGCTTAAAAGTGCTTGCAAAGAGTGAAAAAGATAAGTTGTACAGTACTGAGACCATCCCAGTGGAGATCTTTCAAGCTCTTTCTTTAATTTCTTCCAGTCTGAAATGGTTCAGGTTTCATAGACAGATTAAAGGAGGGCAGGAATTTGATTCCAGTGGGGAAACACAGGTGTTTGGAGGCAATATGAAAACAGGCATATGTGCTTGATGGTGTTAAGAAATAAATGCATCATCAAAATGTTGGTGTCCCTCAGTCCCTGGGATCTTTACTGTAGTCTCTATTCTGCTCCCATGTCCTGACCACATTCTAAGGTTTTCAGCTCTGAAGGGCTGAGAGATGCTTATGAAGTCTCCTCTGCTCCTTCCCCACCACATCTAGTCCAGTTCTCCCCCTCTCTCCCACACTGCTTGGAACAGCATTTTGCCCCACTTTCCAGAATTATTGGAGTATGGGATATTTCATAGCTACCCATCAATGCTGGTTCCAGGAAGACCACTAGACTGCAGCCTGAATTTTAAGGTTAATTGCAACCTCATCCAGAACTAGCATATCTTCAAAATATTGAAGTCCAGCCTGCAGAATCAGTAACAGCTCCAGCCTGCCTGAATTCAGGTTTAGCTTATTCCCCCACATTGAGTTTTTTTCAGCCTGGAAAGGTATGCTGTCTCCCTGCAGCATTGTGCAGGTACGAAAAAATGAGAAATAAGTTGAATTTAGTGAAACATACTCAGAACAGTTCCTGAAGAGAGTAGTAGAAATCTCCCAATATTACCTTCCAGTTATCTGCAGAGAGATAGGAGCAAAATCACTACAAAATTACATCTCCTATTTCCAGCTCCCCAGATTTTCCAACAAGATGCCCTAGATCAAAAACTGTCCAGAGATCCAAATCATCATCATCATCATCATCATCTTGGGAAGGACTCGATAGGTGGATAAAAATGCTAGATCCAATCTAAACATCTGGCTGACTGTGCGACCAACCATAATATTAAAAAATGCCACCCTAGTTTGGATTGGACAAATGTGCCATCCTTACCATCAACAGGGGAAAAATAGTGAAAACTGAGAGAATCAAGATGCCCTATGGAAATAACATCAACAGTCTGGATGAAGAAGATCAC